TGCAGTAGTATTTCGGGGCAGCTCACCTGCTGGGTGGGGTCTTTGTATGGCAGCAGCATTTCAAGGCGGGCTGATCCTTCTTCTCTGGGGAAGCCAGAGCTGGGCAGGTGCCTGAGCCTCGTGAGGGTCTCGGACTGGATGCTGGGCCCTGTACTCCCCCTGCCTTGGGCTTGGAGATGCTCACAGGTGAGTTCTCATTTTTGAAGAGCTCTGTCTTCCTAGGAAGCAGAGATCCCTCACCTGGGAACCAAGCGTCCCGCTGGAGTTGCTCCATGCCCAGGCCCAGGTCTCCTGGTCTGCAGGACACGGCACAAGGAGGCTGGCCTAGGCCAGGCCAAGTGTCCCTGGAGGATGTACTCTGTCCCAGAAGGGGCCTGACCTGCTTGCTGACCCCGCTTGCTGCTGCCTGGCTGACCTGACTCAGCCACAGCTGTTCTGAGGGCCCTTCTGAGTACGAACTCCCAGTTGGAGGTTCTGGGTGAAGACCAGATAGCTTGAGATAGCAGCCTCTGGCTGGGCCCTTGGCGTCGCCAAGCCAGTCAGGCAGGTGTAGAGCCTGATGCCCCTAGACAGGTCCTGCAACCAAGAACAGGGGTAGCCTTCAAAGGCCAGCCCTGCCTTCCAACCACCGCTCCACAACGAGGGAAACCCAGGCTCTAAAAGCAGGAGGTTTGTCCAAGATTAGCACCTGCGTGCTCCAGGCTCCGAGTTCTGTCCCCTCAGCTGTCTGGCCCCTGGGTGCTTGCTTTCATTTCAAGTCACTCATCTTGCTATTAAACATGAGCCCAGAAATATTGTTGTAATGGAGAACGAGGCCTGAGAGTCCCTCAGAGTGGTTGCATGAAATCTCCCCTGCTCAGAACCACCCAGTCGAATTCATGGTGCTCCATGTGGCCTGCAGGACGGCTGGTTAGAGCCGGCAGAGGTTTATTTATAGCCGGGCTCCTGGCTGCCTGGTAACGGGCCACTGCCACCTTTAAAGAATCTTGGGATATTATCTACCTCTATTCAGCTTGAAATCCGGCATGCGGTGCCTTCGGCTGGCGCTGGTGATAATTAAACTGTCATCATGCACAATTATGGATGCAAATAATAAATGGCATAATTAACGAGTCTGAGCTGGGCACGGTGGCTCAAGCCTGTAATCCCAGCACTTTGGGAGGCCGAGACGGGGGGATCACGAGGTCAGGAGATAGAGACCATCCTGGCTAACACGGTGAAACCCCATCTCTACTAAAAAATACAAAAAACTAGCCGGGCGAGGTGGCGGGTGCCTGTAGTCCCAGCTACTCGGGAGGCTGAGGCAGGAGAATGGCGTAAACCCGGGAGGCGGAGCTTGCAGTGAGCTGAGATCCGGCCACTGCACTCCAGCCTGGGCGACAGAGAGAGACTCTGTCTCAAAAAAAAAAAAAAAAAAACGACTCTGTACTTGGAATTACTTTTTTAAAAAGTCATCCCACTGGCGTGTGAGGATTTGGGCAGCTTCTGGACTGAAATACAGAATTGCTGCATCCGGATTGGGTCAAAGCCTGTGGTTGGGAGAACATGCCTGCACAAGGAAAACTGACCCCACAGGACGAAAGTCCTTGACACGAACTGATCTGCCGAAAGGGGAAGAATGGGTCTAGCTAGAATCTAGGACTAACCGGCCGGTGAGCTTTGAGGAACAAAGGGCTTTCCGCTGGGTCAGCCCACAAGAGGGAGCTGCCTGCAGGTGCCCGGGAGGGCACGGCCACCCTCTCTGTCCGTTGGGAGCAGAACTCCTTGGAAGGCAGCACCAGCTCCAGAAAGGTCACCGTCCCCCCGTCCTGCCCACTGCAGGTGGCAACTGCCTCTGCAGGTCACAGTCCCAGAGCGTGGCTCGGCCGACCTGGAGGAGAAAAGGGAAGATGCCCGATTAGCTGGAGGCCCATGGCCTCAGGGCTGGGGGACCGTGGGTCATCCCGAAAGAAGGACAATGACCGCCTGGAAAGGACGATTTCGGGTGGAGCCTGGAGGAGGCGGCCAATAGCTCAGTCCGCACTCAACTCCCTTCCCAGCCGTCTGATGGAAGGCGAGGAGCTAAAGCTCATGCTGCTGAGGCCTGGGGTCTCCCAGGCACCAGCCTCCACATGCCCAGCAGAGACAGCAGCCGCCTAACTGCAGGAGTGTGCCCCGACATGCTCCTGCGGACGTTCCTTCTAATGGTAGACGTGGTCCCCACTGGGGCAAGGCTGCAGTTTTCTTTTAAAAAAACATCTTTCAAAATAAAAGGGGCCTTGAAGAAAATCGGGAAATAAGTAACAGTCTGGGCTGGAGGCAGTTCTGGCGAAAGTGTCCCGAGGGTGGTGTGTGATGGACGGTACTTGCAGCGCTGACGTGGCCTTGCCTGTCACTTGAAGCCTCCAGGAGAGTCGAGGACTGGCAGACCCAGGCCCGGAGCAGGTGCGGGCTCTCAGCTCTTCCGGCCCCTTACCTTGCAGTGGGGGCCCACAGTTCTCGCCTCCTTGATGCCAGCCCCAGAGTGCTCACTGCTGGCCAACTCTTTCCTTTTCCGTCTTTTCCTCAGAACCGGGTCCTTCGGTGCCCACGGTGAGTGGGTATATGAGGCTGTGTGTGGGCACCTGGGGTCTGGGACACCCAGCAGACCTCTCTGGCTTGGAGATGTGTGGCGTGGGAAGAACAGGGTGACCTGAGCCCTCCTGGTGTCACATTCTTCACATCTGAGCCCTCCTTGGGTGAGGCCCTGCTTCCAGCACACACAGCTGACCCCGTTCGTCTTCAGGCATAACTGCTTCACTCTGACACTTGAAGCCAGACGGTGGCTGTGAACAGCAGGGGCCTGTGAACAGCCTGGCTGTGACCCCCAAGGATGACGCTGGCCCTCTTCACAGACGAGATGACCCGGGCCAAGGGCAGCAGCATGGTGGCCCACACCGACTGCAGCATCTCACACCTGGATCTGTTTGTGTGGTCCACAGGCCTGTAGGAGGTGGAACTGGTTCATTTAGTCAGGTTGAGGATCTTGTTAGAAAGGGTTCCTGCTCCCACCCGAAACCAAGGCTGAGTGGTGGTTGTACCCGGTCTCCATTCCTGTGAGCACCAAGCGGGGTGTGGGGACCCCCAGCCCCGGGCCACACACCTCTTTCCTTCGGGGCCGTCTCTCCCTCCCTCTCACCAGAGCTGCTCTGGGTTCTTCCTTACAGAACTTCCCAACGGGTTGCCGGAGCTGTCTGGGGTTGCGTGGCTTGCCCGGGGCCACACTGACTGGGGCCAGGCACCGAAGTCCATTCGTATTTCCGTGACAGCAGCCATCTTTCTATATATTTCTTATTTCATAGGAGATGCCAGCGTCTCCTGGAGTCCTTCTGAGGAGGCACCTGCATACTGACATCGCCTCACCCGGGGAGAGACCGTGGGCAAAACCTAGTGATGTCCGAGGGTCTTTGTGGCCCTGAGCTCTTAGTGCTGACAGCAACTTGAAATAATGAAAGCACAGGGCACTCTGTTAGTGGCTGTTAACTTGTGTAACTAGTGGATGTTAATCACGTTAACTAGCCATGTTACCTAGTGATGTAGATTAATATGATTAATCAATACGAATGAATCACATACACTGACGGGTATCTGGGCGATGGGATTCTTCAGGGAGGCCGGGGAAGAAGCGGACCTGTCACCTTCGGTCTAAAGGTGGTGAGTTCAGTGGTGGGAGGTGCTCAGGGCAGGTGGGTCGGAAGGGGAGAGTGTTCCAGATGGGAAGAAACTATTCGAAAGGCAGTGGACATCTTCCCGTGTGCACAGAGAGGACGGGTGGCCGCTGGGTGAGATTGTACTGGGGAATTGGGGGGCTAGTGGACATCTTCCTGTGTGCACTGAGGACGGGTGGCCGCTGGGTGGGACTGCACTGGGGAATGGGGCCTGTGGAAATCTTCCCGTGTGCACAGAGAGGACGGGTGGCCGCTGGGTGAGATTGTACTGGGGAATGGGGGGCCCTGTGGACATCTTCCCGTGTGCATAGAGAGGATGGGTGGCTGCTGGGTGGGAATTGGGAGAACTGGGTGGGGAGGCCCTGTGGATATTGTCCTGTGTGCTTAGAGAGGACGGGTGGCCGCTGGGTGGGAATTGGGAGAACTGGGTTGGGGGGCCGGTGGATATTGTCCTGTGTGCATAGAGAGGACAGGTGGCCACTGGGTGGGAATTGGGAGAACTGGGGAATGGGGGGACCCATGGACATCTTCCTGTGTGCACAGAGAGGACGGGTGGCCATTGGAGCAGTGCAGACGGGACCTGCTTCCAGAAGAAGGACTGAACTGACCAGATTTGCATGTTTTTATTGCCCTGGGAATTGGGGCTTGGAGGCCTTCTGGGGTCCAGTTGTGCTGTTGGTTTGACAATGGCCTGTATTTGGGGGGGGGGGTGGCTACAGAGGGAGATGGAGGGAAGGTGGTAGGTGGGAGGGGGCTTAGCAGGTGAGTCTCTGAGACTTGTCCACGGTGTGGGGTGACTCTGGGGTCTGTGCCAGGACGCCCCCGTCTCAGCCAGCTTCACGGGCATCAGAGGGATCAGCTCTCAGTGGACCCCTCCCCAGGCTGGGGCTGGGCAGGCTCTGACTGACCCCTGTCCACCGGGGGCACAGGAGGCTGCATCAGGGAAGGCATCTCCGTCAGTCCCGTCCCCAGGGCCTGTGCCCATGCGCCTGGGCTTCTCCTACCAATGAGGTGAGATTTCCAAGCGTCGTGAACCTTGGTCTGTCTTTAAGAAAACCCAGAATGGCACCTTTTCGTCGAGGCCTGCCCTGCGTCCTGGCTCTGCCACCTGCTGACCCCTTCCTGGGTGTGAGGGCAGGATGACCCGTTCAGTGACAGGAGGGTGGACGTCTGCACCTCCCAGCCATCCCAATGTGCGCCGAAGGCCTGAGACGCCGGGCGGCTCGTGTGCTGGTCTTTGTGGGGAGATCATATCTGATTTTAGAGCGGAATTCCAAACATCCTCCAGCAGAAGACCCACTTGGTAGACTGAATGGTGGGCTCAGGTGGGCGGCATGGCCCACGGTCCACAGGCAGCGGAGTCCTCAGTCTTGTGAGATCTTCATGCCCCTTAATTTCTAATCGTTTATTTGCTCCGTGGGGAGGAGCTGGCCTCACAGCTGAGCACAAGGGCCAGGGAGACCGGACCTGCTTCCGGAAGAAGAAGGACTGAACCGACCAGATTCAGATAATATGGTTTCTGTTTGTTTGTTTGCTTGTTTGTTCCTGAGACGGAGTCTCGCTCTGTCACCCAGGCTGAAGTGAGTGGCACGATCTTAGCTCACTGCAAGCTCTGCCTCCCGGGTTCACGTCATTCTCCTGCCTCCAGAGTAGCTGGGACTACAGGTGCCCGCCACCGCGCCCAGCTAATTTTTTGTATTTTTAGTAGAGATGGTGTTTCATCGTGTGAGCCAGGATGGTCTCGATCTCCTGATCCCGTGATCTGTAGGTCTCGGCCTCCCAGAGTGCTGGGATTACAGACGTGAGCCACCGCGCCCAGCCAATATGTTGTTATTTTAAAAAGCAGGGTTACGAGCCCTGGAAGGAGCTGATACACCTGGTACAGGAAGGAACCCTTAAATCCTGTGACCCCAGTTACTAAATGGAAATGGGAACGTCCAATGGAGCTTAATCCAGCCGCTAATTTTTTAATCATCACTTCTTTTTTTCTTACTAAAAACTGTACTCCCTATTCGTTGTGGAAATCAGAAACACAGTTAAGGAAAAAAATGGAAAACTAAAGTCAACCACAGTTTTACTTTTAGGAGAAAACTACCCAGCTTCAGGTGCCCATCCAGGCATCCCAGTTTTAAAAATACGTGCACTGTATTCAGAAGAAAATGGTTATGGAGTCTAAGTTTTTAATGGACTGCCTTGATTATTGGTAAAATCATACGCTGTTTGCTGTCATTGAAAACCCCCGTGCCCAGTAAGAAGCCGGGATGGAGCCCGTCCTGGTGCCCGGTGAGAAGTTGGTCGGAGCCCGTCCCAGTGCCTGGTGAGAAGTCGGATGGAGCCCGTCCTGGTGCCCGGTGAGAAGCTGGGACGGAGCCTGTCCCGGTGCCCGGTGAGAAGCCGGATGGAGCCCGTCCCGGTGCCCGGTGTGAAGCTGGATGGAGCCCGTCCTGGTGCCCGGTGAGAAGCTGGATGGAGCCCGTCTACGGTGCCCGGTGAGAAGCTGGATGGAGCCCGTCCCAGTGCCTGGTGAGAAGCCGGGATGGAGCCCGTCCCAGTGCCCGGTGAGAAGCTGGATGGAGCCCGTCTACGGTGCCCAGTGAGAAGCCGGGATGGAGCCCGTCTACGGTGCCCGGTGAGAAGCCGGGATGGAGCCCGTCCTGGTGCTCGGTGAGAAGCCGAATGGAGCCCATCCCGGTGCCTGGTGAGAAGCCAGATGGAGCCCGTCCCAGTGCCTGGTGAGAAGCCGGGACGGAGCCCATCTGCGGTGCCTGGTGAGAAGCCGGGATGGAGCCCCTCCCGGTGCCTGGTGAGAAGCCGGATGGACCCCGTCCCGGTGCCTGGTGAGAAGCCGGGACGGAGCCCATCTGCGGTGCCCGGTGAGAAGCTGGGATGGAACCCGTCTATGGAACCTTGAGCTGCTGGCCCACCTGAGGCCGGCGTTCAGATTCTGTGCAGTGTTTTGGAGAGAAATGAGATTTGTTGCTGCTTCCTTCACCTGCGGAGGGCACGGCCTCAGACAGTTTCATTGACAGACCTGACTGCACAGTGGTCCAGGGCGCTGAGCCCAGCCCCAGTCTTGACCATGGCCTGTCAGTCGTGGTTCCTGACAGGGCAGTGGCTGGAGCAGACGCTGCCTGGAGGGAATGAGCACGTGACCTGGCCAGGCCGGGGTGTGAGCTGTGAGCTCAGGGGCAGCAAGAGCATCAGAAATGGGGAGGGCACATGGCACCTGAGTGGCCATTGCGGTGGCGAGCCCCCACTGCTGCTGCTCTCACACTCAGGGAAGAGACGTGGCACTCACGCAACCTTTGCCATGTAGAGTGCCCACATCGTCGCTGTTTTTGGTGCTCGGGGAGGGGCCGTGGCACTCATGTGGCCTTTGCTATGGTGAGTCCCCACACTGCCACTGTTCTCAATGCTCAGGGAAGGACGTGGCGTCTCGTGGCCTTTGCCGTGGTGAGGGCCTACGCCATTGCTGTTCTCCGTGCTCAGGGAGCGGACGTGGCACCTGTGTGACCCTGGCCATGTTGAGTCCCCACGCTGCCACTGTTGTCAGTGCTCAGGAAGGGCGCGTGGCACTCATGG